CAAGAGCGACATATAAGAAACATTGCGCAGTGCGATAAATAAAAAGACTTGATATTTCCACACCCTTTTTTGATATTGCTACACCCCTGCTAACTCTAAACCCTGACCAAACCCTAATAATTTATATTGATTTTTATTAACATGGGTGTGGCAATATCAAAAATGGGTGTGAAAATATCAATTTCCTAAATAAATTTACTCATTTTTATTTTAGTAATTTTTAGAAATAAGAATTAGTAAAAAGAGTTTTATGGTAGATTAATTTGATTAAGATAAATAATTAAATAATTTATATATATATTTATTTTAAAATAAATCTACAAAATATTAATAACTAATAATAACATAATAACATTGTTTTATTAAATGCTATAACGATAATGAAACATTAACTTTAATTAAAATCATTCTATATAGTTTTATAATATTCAAAATGTTTTTTTTTAATTGAAGTTTGAAACAGCTCACATATGCAATCGCTAGGATTGTTAAAAGAATGTCATATTTCGGTGCCACTCTAGACTAAACCCAATCCAAGTTAAAGTGAGTTTAAAATATGTTTATAACTTTAAAGCAACCTGGCACAATCCGGAATAGGGCTCAGCATACCCGGCATATACAAAAAATTTAAGACACGGGCACAGGCACAGGCACAGGCAGTGCCTGCCTAAAAAATGCCAGGCACTTTCTTAAGCACTGACACTAGGCACGGCTATGCCTAGCATACGTAATAGTCAATTAATACATTACGATAGCATCTAACAATAATCAATATTAAATTGACCGGGCACAGGCATCTAATGCTTTCCTCAAAAATGGCTAGCACATATTTAGGCACCGGCACTAGGCACAACGGTGGCACTTGTTTTTGGTACGTACAATGCCAATATGCTTGGCAGGGCATTTGCAGACTCCTAATCCGGAACGGCCCAGAGTACATTCTGGCAACATAAATTTATTAGGGTAGGTTAAAAATTAGATTAACCTACAAACAACCCTAGCAATCGTCTAATAAATTCTGTTCAGAGTATCTATGGTTTGGCTAAAGTTGTGATTTCCGATACTCAAAGTTGTACTTGCGCGCAAGATGATATTGATATGGCTAATTTCAGTCAAGTGCAAAACTCAGCTTTTGTTAAATTTGGAATCACCTAATAAGTCAACGTTATCAATAGCAAGGTTAGTAATTTTCTATCATGATTAATAATTTGCGTAATTGATTTCAACCATAGCGATAGCTTTAAATTCCACACAATAAATGCGAGATTTCTAAATTACAAGTTAGTTTACCTATATTGGTTGTTAGGACGTAATGAAAAAGAAACTTTTGATTTTTCATTATTTGTTTTTCAGACTTTTCGATTAGCAGATTTATTACATATTTACAGTATAGAAAGGGACAAGTAATTTTGAAATCAACGTGAATTAAATAGAATTAATAAATTTATGCGAATATGAAAATAGATTATAAATAAATAAATATATTCATGAGTTTATTATAAATAATTTGCTTAAATATATTCATGAGGTTATTAAATTTATGAGTTTATTAAATTTATGAGTTTATTAAATTCATAAGTTTATTAAATTCATGAGTTTATAAAGTTTATATTAATTATCTACCTTAATAGAAAAATATTTAATTTTATTTGTTACTATCATTATATATTTACAAAACTATTAATTGTTATGTAGGAAAAGTAAATTCGGAGCAACGAGACGGGTCATATGCTAGTATTAAAAAAAATATATATATCAAATGATATCGATATCTGATACGTATAAATTTCATTTAATTTTAATTATAAATTACAAAATATTCTATATATATATATAATTTGTTAATACCGATATTTTTCTTTGTTATAAACTTGCGTATTATATAGTATATAATGTACAAGTAATAGTTATATCCGTCTACACAGGATACAACTGACTTATCCCTGCCATCTATGTAACATAACTTTCATGTACTTATTTTAGAGCGAAACTTTTATTTTACGCATTGTTTTTGACATTTAAGATTAGATAGGATAACGATAATATTCAATTACCTAAATTAAAAATAGATATTGGTCTAGTAGAAATAAGTACGTACGTACATGAAAAAAGCTACATTGATGGATTTTTACAGGAGGATCCCCAAATTTCCGGGTCGGATTCATAGGCTTCAGGCCGGCATTCAGCAATACAAGTTAACCATTTCTGGACCAAAATCATCTTTACTTAATGAGTGGGCTATCGCTATGATTCCTCACCCTAACAGATTACCAATTCCCATATAGAAAATCCTTATAGGAATTTCTATTATTACGGGTAGATGGAATTACGTAATAATCTGTTAGGCGTATTATAGAAATTCCAAATTGGTTTAATTCCGGCCCTGCGATTATGATTCCGAGGTATTCCGACCCAGAAATCTGGGTGCCCCCGCGTGAGTTGGTTGGCCAGTGGATAATAATTTTTTACAGGGGATCACCAATATTTCGGGCCGACATGCATTAGACCTGGGCCGGTATTAAGCAATGTTAGCCAACATAGTCTCTCGCAAAATTGTCAGCTGGGCATTTTTACTTAATGAATGGGCTATGACTTCATTAGTAAAATTTTTAGTGATGGGTAAAATTAATCAATTCCGGCACATCCGGCCAGTATTCCGATGCATTCCGACCCGGAATTTTGGTGATCCCCGTATAAGTTTGGATAATACGTGCATACGTACGACGTACGTACAAGCAAGGTTATATTGATATATTATATATATATATACGTATTAGATAATCTTTTATTTAAATAGCAATATATTTTCTACGTATAAAATATATAATTTTGGTATTTTTCAAATTATTTAATATATATACGTATGAGTGAAACCCTGGAAATAGATTTAATAATTAATATATATCCGTAAGAGTGAAAACCTGGAAATAGATTTAATTATTTACTATGATTGGTTACAGGTGTTCACTCTCATGCACTCATGATATATATATATTATTTTAAAGTCAAGTACGTACGTACGTACGTACGTATAAGTAAAATTTATAGTTATTACGTATTACGTATAATAAAAAGATGGGCTTGAATTTAACAAAAAACAAATAATCACAAAAATTAATTTTTATGACTCTTTAGAACTCCTTTTGCTGCAAAAAGATGTAAGATTGCAGAGACACAATATCGAAGTCTATGTACTTATTATTATTAATAAAATGAATATCAATATTAATGTTATTTTGTAATGTTTATTTTATAAAATATAGTATAAGATAATATTAAGATAATATTACGATAAGACTTATATATGAGTACTGCCAAGACTTCTGGAATTTAAGTTTATAGTTTGTCAGACTTAATTCTTGAAAATCCGATAAGTGACCTACAGTACTACTGATACAAACTAAGTCCCAATATTTATAAATTTAAAATTTACGAGGTCTTGGCAGCACTCATATTAGATTGTAATATTACATAATTCATAATTTATATTACAGCGTAACGATATTATACGCATATATTGCACTTTTTGTGATATTATGACATTAAAAAATCGCAAGTATTGCAACCCTAGTTGCGTTATGTGATTCTGATCGATAGTTCGTAAGATAATTAATTTTTTGTGAATATTTTTTTTTGCACCAAGCCCATATCGATATTGTGTGTAATATATAAAAAAACATACCCGAAACAATTATATGGTTATATTTACGTGCGTCACACCACATGTAGATTACGTAAACAAGCTACAGTAGGCCCGATAAAGTTAATGATTAATTCTTATAGTACAGTAGTATATCGATATACAACGGTTCATCCTATATATCTTGATTGATATTGTTGTATTTCATAGAGAATAGACATTTTTGTTAATATGTGATCATTCAATAGTAAGCCTAAAGTGTCATTTAAGAAAATACGTTCGTATGTGTAAAGGTTTACCGGTAGTTTGAAAATATGTATGAAGTTTTAAGAAACTGGCGAATCTGTCTGTTATGAAAGGCTAAGGATGTCCGAATGCTCCGATTAGGTTGTCCATTTTGAGGTTTTTACTCAAAATCGACACAGATAGTTGAACAGATAAGGAATGAACGGCTTTCGACCTAGTCTAAATCAAATTTTATGCATAAGTATGTGCGTATTACTAAAATTTATTTTTATCATACAATATTACTCTATAAGTAAATTAAATCGATGAAGTTAACTTTGGAGTTTAGCGTTATTACAGCATTATGAAGGGACATAAAATATCACGTGATAATATAAATGGAATTACAATTACGAGAACCACTTGCTGGCTAATTCATGCAGACCCTTGAAAGTGAAATTACTTATTTACAACTTTGTCTAGACAATATTTAAACCAGTTACATGTAAATATTTAGTAATAAAATTTTTCTAAAAGTGGATATGATTTTCATATAAAGAGTATATAAACTTTTGTTTAAAAAAGAATTAGTCTAATAATGGATAAGATTTACGCAACAAAACATTCTTTGAAATATCTGATGGAAACTCTTTTAAAACGAGATTAATTGATGCGGCAGTTAGAAACTCCGAATTATCCGATCATTAGGTTAAGAAGAAAGGTACCAAGGTGTTTGTTATACAATAAGGGTATACAGTCATATGGTAAGTCAAAAGGTTATTATCATGGGGGTAACCGGAAAGATTCTTCCCATTTGTATATCAGAAAAAGGAAGCTTACACAACACATTGTTTTCTACGATCCGGCGAATCGAACTTTGTGAATCAAAATTGGTACGTATGTTGTTTGAATGAACATGCAAGGGATTTAAATTTAGACTAGATGGCACAAAGAATTTCATGAGAACTATGTACGCAGTTATTTTTTTATAAATAGGAGTTTGATGAGAATAATTTTTTTTTTTTACTGATAATTTTTTTAACCGTAATTGTTTATATATAGAAAAAAAAAAAGCCAAAAAATATATATATTTAATATCTACACAAATTGAATAATAAAATTAAAAACTACAGCCATGAAACTTTCCAACGATGAACGACGCCAAATAGTTGAAACCGAAGTAGATAGGGAACAGGAAGTTAGACAGGAAGTCAAACAAGAAATGTCAAAGGATAAACAAGAATCAACATCTTTGGAAGTAAAAGATTCAAAGATACTTAAAACATGCGACGTGTGCACCGAAGAAATCGAATCAGTATATAATTTAGAGTGTGAACATAAATATTGTCAAACATGTTTACGGAGGTTATTTACGGACCCAGCATACGTTCTTCCTATTAGATGTTGTAATAAAGAGATTAGTTTAGACCTTGTTCTTAATATACTCACGCCCGAAGAAACGCAACCAATAATCCAAAGAGCTGTTGAAGCATCACATAGATTATTCTGTCCAACGCCAGGATGTGAACGGCCTATTCACGTTACTGCAGAATCCGAAATCTCAGTATGTCCAGACTGTAACAAAGAGATTTGCGTTAAATGTAGATCTTATGCACATCCTAATAAAAAATGTTGGAAAGGAAAAAATGAAAGAAGATTTAAGAGGATTACGGAAAAACGCGGATGGCGTCAATGTACGGTTTGTGGCGTTTTTATTGAACGGAGAGGAGGTTGTAAAAATATTCATTGTCCTTGTGGACACACTTTTTGTTATCATTGTGGCAAACAATCTTGTAAATGTATCCTTGGTAGAAGTTGGGCAAGAAAGATAAAACAAACATTCTGGAAAGTAGTAGGATTTTAGTCTCATTTATCCTCATTTATCGTGTTTGCATTTTGGTCTAATTCAATTCAATTCAATTGGATAATTTTCAATTGGACAAAACATTTTAAATATGTCCATTATAATTAAATGGCAAAAATTACATAATTCTGACATTAGTGAGAGAAAATATTCCACCTTTTTTCTTGCTTACAGATCCCTGTCAATTCTACTTTTAATCCTTTTAATCACACTTAATGTACTATTTTTCAGTTAATCTTTTATAAAGGTTTTTTTTTTGACATTGACATTTGGAATATCTATCCTAAATGGATACTATCCTAAATGGATATTCTATTATACGTCTTTACGTTGCTTAAGTATCTTAGATACCACTGTATATACTACAGTACTACGCTACTGTATTACTTACAACTTACTTCACTTGAATATACACTTTTATTATTCAAGTCACCGTTGACTCTCATTGTCTTTAATTGTCTTTAATTGGTAGCATTCAGGTGCGCCAATCGTCATCCGTTTAGTAAATCTACCGCATCAAAAATAGGAATGTTTATAGTCAACAACTGTTAATTAGTATCGATCTTTTTTCAAATTTCTTTCAAGTTTCTTTCAAGTTTCTTTCAAGTTTCTTTCAAGTTTCTTTCAAGTTTCTTTCAAGTTTCTTTCAAGTTTGAGTGCAACTGCAAGATGGCTACGGTGAAAGTTGAGTCTTAAAATGGTGATTGAAACTTTATTTAATATAAACCTTAAAGATCCATAGGGTGATTCCGAAAGAGTTAAAAAACCAGAATGGTTATGATCTTATGATTTATTTACCGTTATCAATTATACTGCAGTATTCACATGTCGTGTTTTTAGTCGACATGTTCACAGGATGTACATACTCATTTAGGCAATGTATCAAATATGTATATTGTTATACTGTATACATACGTGTACGTATCAATTATTACTCCTTAAAGTAAATATATATGTTGTGAGAACGGAATTTAAAATGCTATATTTTGGAAGTTCTTAAGATTTTAAAGTTAGGATATAACGATAAGGTTTGTGTAGTATAATTTCTTACTTAAAATTCTAATTAATAATTTCGAAGTCCACTTTCCGGACCTTAATATCTGGTGCGATGCAAAATTTCACGTATACGTATGAATAAATGAATAAATAGTATTTTAAAAAATCGATCTACATTATTTGTTACGCCGGGTATTATAATCCGGAAATCCTGTACTCACACAACGTATGATTCTGGAATTCCTAACGCTAATTGTGAATTTAAGATTGAGAATTCTTTGCTTATTAGATAACGATAATGTACTAATTATGAATTTCAAATCGGGAATTCTTTGGTTATTGGATGGAAATATTCAATAAATGAATTATCGAAATATCGTTAGAACCTCGTTAATGCAACAAAGTGCATATATTTTTTTTACTATATACAGTATGTAGATAATTAATAAATTTCGTTCTACATAAATAAACTAATCATTTCATCTAGATTAAATAATTGCATCTGAATAAATAAATACGTACCGGTAATTTCTGAATAAAATAATTTCTGAATAAATAAATAATTTCTGAATATGAATAAAATGAATAAATAATTATATAGAATAAATAATTTTTGAATAAATAATTAGAATAAATAATTTTTGAATAAATCATTAAAATAAATAATTAGAATAAATAATTTTTGAATAAATCATTAAAATAAATAATTGTGGCGTTTAAAAGTTTTTTTTCTTTTTGGTATGGCATATACTTTATAATTTTACCATGGGCCCTTAGGGGGTGAGATAGCATAACAAATACAAACATAGTGAAGATCACATAGTAATTTTTACTAATCAAGATTTTTCCG